CTTATTGAGATGTTCTATTATTGCAATTTTCTATCAATTTTGGAAAACTGAAATTTAATATCTATCATAAAGGAATATGTTTCTTTTGTTGATAAATATTCTTATTTTTGTAATGTACAAAATAATCAAAATTAATACTATTTAAATTAAACATCATAGTTGGATTCAATATATGATAGACGCATTTTCAAAAGAAAAAAAAATCAATTCAATATAACAAATAAATAACCTTTGATGACTCAATAATACAAACAACTCCAAAACAAAGAAAGAATAGAAGGAATGCTTTTGGTGATCTTTGGTTTGGTTCAGTAGTTGAGCAAACCATAAACATCAAGTTCATCCTTATTTAGAGAAGCTCCACTCTTTTTTTTAGATAATCTCCTTTCTTTTTGATTTCACTTACCCATGTCTTATAATCGATAAGAAAATAATTGATATAAAGAATATATTCAAAATTAACATTTCTATAACATTATCAATTGGCTATAAGTTTATTATACGAATTATTATTTAAGGCATTTTTGATAAATTTCTCTATATATACTTATAAATAATAATAGTTTTCATTAGAACTGCAAATCAAATATGCATTCTTAAATTATCAAATCGTGATCAAGATTTTGTTCAGACATATTCATATTTCTAATATTGAGATAAATAATCACAAATCCTAATAGCTATAATTATGATAAACAAGAAAAATGCATGATCAATAATTCAAATTAAGTTATTATAATTCACATTATTCATATTACAATTAGTTATTCTATATTCTAAAAGAATCAAGCAATGTAATTGCAGAATTGAATTCTCCATAGCATTTTTTACCTCAATTACAATAAATTCCAAATCTACATATAGTTTTGACTTCTACTTAAAAAAAATACAGAAGATACATTTCTTTATTTATAGTATAAAACATAAAGAAAGAGTGATAAATATTCAATATTAAAATAAAAAAAGAAATTGAATAGATCAAAAAGCAGATCTAACTGAAATTTTGCTCAAGTTATGGATTCAGATGGCTATGTTTTAATTGAAGTTTCGAAAGCAGAAAACTTTAAGCAAGATTGGATACCTTTCAGAGAACCAAAATAAAAAACATTACAAATAATAAATTTTTATTTGAAATACCTTTTTTGATATTTTGTAGAGGTTAAAAGTTAGAACTAAGAACATGAAAAAAATTACTGATGTCTTAAACTAACGAAAAGATCATGACTTCAATAAAAAAGACTATTCAAATGAAGTAAAATTAAGAATCCACATTAAGTCTAATTAATAGCATAAAGGATAATCGATAGATCATAAAATTTTTATAATTTTTAGATAACTTTACATCTATGGATAAAACTTTAAAATAATGAGGGTCTAATTAATTAAATTAATTAGTTAAGATGAAGTTGGACCAGAGAAACAAGAATTTTGAAAATATTAAGATCTAAAATACTTCTTTGGTAGAAATTTATTTTTTTTACTCCATTTTAAGGGTATTAGAATTAAAAAAAATTAATATAAGTGGGAAGAATTTGAAAAGAGCATAATTATTTAATTGTAAATGGAATAACTTAAGAATCCATCAATTAAATAAATTCAAAGTTTATAGTGATATTCTATTATTTTCTTGCGATGCAAATAAGTCTACACTAATAATAAAAATTTAAATTAAATAGTCATAATAATTGAATTTATTCAGTATGCTTCTCTTTGATAGAAATATATTCATTATCTTCTTGATTTGGAGATAGTAAGGGGATGCTAAGAATAGAGTAGTATATTGAATAAACATAACTATTGTGTCTATTTAATTTAGATTTTTATTGTTCTGTGATTGAAGTATTCATTGGAATCCATTAGTTGATCGGATAATTGATAGAAATAGTGCAAAATAAAAACTAAATAAGATAGATACTAAATGCTTATCCTCAAAATTTTTATTAATCCACATTAATAGCATGAAAATATTTATATATAAATATTTATTAATTATAATTTTTAATATGTATTTAGAAACAAGTGTGGTTTAATGTTTTGGGGAAATTTTTAGATATATGCAAAAAAATTTAATCTGAAGCAAGATATTATTGACATTTGGAATTTACCTTTATAATTAAGAGCTTACAATGAGATGGCAACCTTTAATTTGAATTTACAATAATCTAACTTTATCACTTAATTCTCAAAAAATTTCAAGAGAATTTCACATGAAGACAAGTAACCCATCATTCACCCATAAAGGCACTATCTATTAATAGATAGAAAAAAACTTTCAAAAAGGATGGCTAGAAGAAGTTAATGCAGGGTTGAAATATAGAAAAAATAAATAGTATCTGGGATGATTTGAAAAATAATTAAATCCAGAGAAAGAAATGATACAAAAGATTCTAAAGAATTGAAAATAACATCATAGAAAAAATTGAATTGAAGAATAAAGGAAGTTGATTTACATTAAGAAGGAGTTCATTAATAATATTAGTTATTCGTATAATCATTGCTGAACCATGATGGAATGAATTGAAAGGCTTTATAGTAGAGTACAACTACTAAGATTATTCCTTTTTGATAGCTAACTAAGAATATTATGATTTTATATAAATTAGATCAAATTTTAATTTATAATAACTAAGTGAATTTTCTATAAAATGAAATTGAAAAATAGATTTAAGAATTTATGATTATTATAATTTTATTGGATATTGATGATTCATTCATATTGACTTGTTAGAATTTTATCTTATTTCTTTATTCTTGATTTAAAGATGTATTTTTCTATTTCATCAAGGATTTCTATTTCTAGAGCCTCAATTAAAGCTTTTGCAAAGGGTTTTCTCTCAGAGTTTTATCTTAAATTTTCTAGTTCCTAAAGAGTACTTTACATAGCTGATTCCATAATCTAGATCATCAGACTACAATAATTTTGTTAGTTCAAAAAATTGTTAAACTGATTCATAAATTGATCCGAAACTGTGATTCCATCATCATTAATCATTTATTAATTTTTCATATAGTTGATAACATTTTACACTAATAATTTGGGTTCTTAATCAAATATTTATTTTACCTATTCATATTATTATTCAATTTATTAAATTTACAAAGTACTCACTTAATTCTGCATTTATTCTTTTAAGTTGATTAATTATTAGGTTTGTGACTTAAATCTCTCTATATGAGCATTAGAATGGGCATTATACTATTCCTTAAAAATTATTTCTATTGGCTCTATGAATAAGCATTTATCACTGAATATATTGCATACATCCATGATTTTTGGTCTGATTACTCTCTAATACAATCTATTCATTGATATTTTGTCTGGTATCTTTACATTATTACATTCATCTTAAATATCTTAATTATTTATATCGAAGTTTGAATTTAAATATTGTTAAATGTTGATACTGGTAATATATTGATTCACATTCTAAGGATTGCATAATTTTTCAAAATACAGATCCAAAGTTAGTATTTTTTTTTAAAGTTCAATATCTTTGGAATAAATTATTTAAACAATTTTTGAAAATTACTTAATTTCATTATTTAGTGTTATTTCATATTATTAATATTCTTGAATTTTGTTTTATATCCCATTATATTTTCTATTACCCTATATAGTACAAATTTCTTCAACTTCTTATTTTAAATTTTCTTGTTATTTTTTAGTTTTACATTTAGCTATCTATAATTTTATATATTTTTTTGTTAATTCACAAAAACGATTTTGAAAGCCTTGAACTGTTCCTCTAGATTATTAAAAACATTAATTTATTAAATCATACAGATTTTGTCCCGTATTTTCAGAAATAGTTCCATTTTAAACTTAATCTCCTAATACTTCTGTTGCTAAATTTAATATTTGATGATAATTCTATGTTCTTAAAGCAGTTTCTTATATCATTTGCAAAGTTTGATATTAATTTTAGATGTTTACTTTATCTAAATCACTTAACCAAAAACCTGCTTTTTTCAATCCATCTGCTGTAACAGTTGGGATTTAATCCAAAAATTGATTAATTCCAATTTATTTTATTGTTTAAAATGCTTGGCCTCCTATTTACAGAGCTTCCTTAATTCCAGAAGGTCCTGCTAAGACTAATGCTGATGCAATATTGATCATTTTGTTTTATCCCCAAGCTCCCCAATCAATATTTAATCCTTTCCATGCTGCTGCTACAGAATGGACCATATCAGAAATTCCTCCAATTATAAAAGTTTTTCCTATAGGTAATGCAGCTCCACAAGTTAATGCACTTATTGCACATCCTACAAAAAACTGAACTGCTCCAATTACAAACTTGGCTAGATATTGCCACCATTTTTTTTTCTTTCTTTCTTTTTTTGTTTTTATAACTTTTCCTAACAAAGGTAAGGGTCCGTCATTTATCACTTCTTGCTTATCTTTAGATGACATTTTTTCATCACCGTCTTCATTTTTTTCATTGAAATGCAAAAGGGCCCAATTTACATCAATATTTTCTTTTTCAGGATTAAAAGTATTAAAAGTATTTAAAGTTTCATTAATATTTTAAATAAGTTATTCGTAAACTTTAATATGATTCTTGGCTTTTGAATCTAATTTTTGTTTATTATTTTAATTTTAATTTTGTATATTTTGATTATTCACATCTTATTATATTTCTTGATTAGAAGTATTATTTTGTATATTTGAAATATTGTTATGATTATCTTAGTTAATCTCATTAGATTATTAAAAAGAATTCATTTCAAGATCTAGTTATGGCAACATTTAAGTTTATTCTTCATTGTTTGATTGTCTAATTTCTTCAAGTTTTTTTGAAAATTATTCTATTTATGATCTATTTAATTTAAATGCAGTTGAAAATCCTTTTTCATCATCAATTTTGTTTTGAAATAATTCTTTTGCTTTCTACAATGATGATATTCCTTGTTGAAAATTTTTCTGTTTTATTTCATAAAATCCTTAATAATAATATGCAGAAGGATCATTATCTTAAATTTGAATAGCCTTCCTAAACATATCTAAATTATCTCTTTCCAATCCTTACAAAATCAAATACTTTGGATTTTAAGAATCATTTTAGTTCAAAATTGTTTCAATTTCATCTTCCTTTAATCCAGTCTCTTGATGTTCTTCCAAATAAAGGCCCCATTTTTCTTCCAAAGCTTTGAAAGCTGCATGATTCTCCTTGAAACAAACCAGACTTTTTGCAATTCTGCAGAACCTTTCAAAACATCTATCCTCATTTTCTAATCTTTTCATTTCCAATTCTATTTCATCTGAATAAAATTTCTCATTAAAATTTCTTAAATATACAAGGAGGTCTAAAGTTGTAAAGGTTGTATTAACATTTCTAATATAATAAGCTTTAACATCTTTAATAGTGTTTAATTTTAATTAACCAACATATAGATTTTCCTCATAATTAACTATAAGTTGAGCTGTACCTTTTTACCTTGTCTTCCTGTTCTACCAAAACCTTATTGTTAAATTCTGATATTTCTAGGTAAAAATGACATAATCACATGTAAACCTCCATTATCTTCTAATTCTTCGTTTGTAATAAGATCTGTTCCTCTTCCAGCCAAATTAGTTGCAATTATAAGAGAATTAGGCTTTATATCATGATCTATTTTTTGGCTGTCATCATAATATACTACAGATTTTAGATTATTTTTTTGCAAATGTAATTTAATTTTATTGACGTCTTAAATTGTCCTATTAATAATAAGAACTGCTCTCCTGTTGTTCATTTATTATTAAACAGCCTATAGAATAGCGTCTTTCCATTCCTCTTCCTTTAGGGCTGCATATCCTAGCTCTTCTTTTAATTGTCTCTTTTTATAAGGAGGCATGAAAACAAAGTCTAAATTGTACTACTTAGCCAATAGATTCTATGTAACCTATGAACCTAATGTACCTGTCAACCCTAAAATTTTATTCTTGTATCTTTTAAAGAAAGTAACATTCGATAGATAGTTTGTGTTAATTGATATAGGGCTAATAGGAAGATTATGCTTTAATTATACAAATTGATGTAATCCTTTTTCCCATTGCATATTATTTTTATGAATAACTCCTGTGTTCTAAAAATCAATTATTCTAACATTATTATTTTCTATTTTGTAATGACAATCTTCTTGGAGATTATATTTTGCCTGAATGGCATTTTCAATCCATGTTTTCTTCATAAAATCGATATAATTTAATCTGTATTTAGGTATAAATTCGTTTAACACATCTTTTAACTAGAGATTCAAAGTAGATTCTACATATTCTTTCAAATCAACGCTATAATAATTTGTTTCATCAATAATCATAACTTGCTTTTCTGTTGATAAATTTGATTCTGCCTTACAGATTTCATCCCAGATTAATCTGAGAACCTTAGTTAAATCAAGCATTCCTGGCAAAGGAGAACTTAATAATGTCTTATTGCTATTTCCATC